TATAGTAAGGTATAGTAAGGCATTAAAACGTCATAAAAACGTCATAGTATATAGTATGGCATAAAAATGGCATAAAAACATCATAGTATAGTATGGCATTAAAATTTCATAAAAACGTCATAGTATAATAAGGCATAAAAACGTCATAGTATAGTATGGCATATGTTGGAGTATTTCAGGCTATTAAACCTATAACTGTTTAATGATTTACACTAGTGGATATTTAGGTGCTACGGGTGAGTTGTGGTTTAAACATCTGCCTCAAGGAAACTATTTACAACCACTGATAAGGACCACTCTATGGGCATGTGTGGGGGGGGGGCACCCGGAGGTAACAGAGGTAGAGAAGTGGTAATTTATGTTTAAACACTAACTGTCTTCTTTTTGGCGCGCTGAGTTTAGATTTCACTTAGGGTCGGAGTCAGATGGGAAGGAGGAACCCAGCAGAGCCAATCAGAAGACGACAGAACGCCCATGCACATTTCTTTGTTTGTATCTGTATAAATACACTGGATCAGGAAAAGTTAGGTTATCAGACTGTGGACTGACCAACACTTGTTATTGGTTAGGGAAATACACATCTGATCCAGAATTCTGTATTTGTTCATTGCTTGCTGAAAAGATTTACTAAACAAATTTAACTAAATTCTTTGGTGTGAACATTCACTGGTCTTTTGAGTATTTTGAACGCTGCACACACCCCGTGGGGGGGGTGAGAGTTTTTTTTCTCCAAACAGCACAAAGCTCCTTCACATAAAACGTCAAAGTATAGTATGGCATAAAAATGTCATAGTATAATAAGGCATAAAAACGTCATATTATAGTATGGCATAAAACGTCAAAGTATAGTATGGCATAAAAATTTCATAAAAACGTCATAGTAAAGTAAGGCATAAAAACGTCATAGTATAGTATGGCATAAAACGTCATAGTATAGTATGGCATAAAACGTCATAGTATAGTATGGCATAAAACGTCATAGTATAGTATGGCATAAAACGTCATAGTATAGTATGGCATAAAACGTCATAGTATAGTATGGCATAAAACGTCATAGTATAGTATGGCATAAAACGTCATAGTATAGTATGGCATAAAACGTCATAGTATAGTATGGCATAAAACGTCATAGTATAGTATGGCATAAAACGTCATAGTATAGTATGGCATAAAACGTCATAGTATAGTATGGCATAAAACGTCATAGTATAGTATGGCATAAAACGTCATAGTATAGTATGGCATAAAACGTCATAGTATAGTATGGCATAAAACGTCATAGTATAGTATGGCATAAAACGTCATAGTATAGTATGGCATAAAACGTCATAGTATAGTATGGCATAAAACGTCATAGTATAGTATGGCATAAAACGTCATAGTATAGTATGGCATAAAACGTCATAGTATAGTATGGCATAAAACGTCATAGTATAGTATGGCATAAAACGTCATAGTATAGTATGGCATAAAACGTCATAGTATAGTATGGCATAAAACGTCATAGTATAGTATGGCATAAAACGTCATAGTATAGTATGGCATAAAAATGTCATAAAAACGTCATACTATACTATGACGTTTTTATGCCTTACTATACTATGACATAAAAATGTCACAAAAACGTCATAGTATAGCATGACATAAAAATGTCATAAAAACGTCATAGTATAGTAAGGCATAAAAACGTCATAGTATAATGACATAAAAATGTCATAAAAACGTCATACTATACTATGACGTTTTTATGCCTTACTATACTATGACATAAAAATGTCATAAAAACGTCATAGTATAGTATGGCATAAAAAAGTCATAATATAGTAAGGCATAAAAAACGTCATAGTATAGTATGGCATAAAACGTCATAGTATAGTATGGCATAAAAATGTCATAAAAACGTCATAGTATAGTAAGGCATAAAAACGTCACAGTATAATAAGGCATGAAAAACGCCATAGTATAGTATGGCATAAAAATGTCATAAAAACGTCATAGTATAATAAGGCATGAAAATGCCATAAAAATGTCATAGTATAGTAAGGCATAAAAATCGTCATAGTATAGTATGGCATAAAAATGTCATAAAAACGTCATAGTATAATAAGGCATGAAAAACGCCATAGTATAGTATGGCATAAAAATGTCATAAAAACGTAATAGTATAGTAGGGCATAAAAATGTCATAAAAACGTCATAGTATAATAAGGCATGAAAAACGCCATAGTATATTATTGCATAAAAATGTCATGAAAAAGTCATAGTATAATAAGCCATGAAAAACGCCATAGTATAGTATGGCATAAAAATGTCATAAAAACGTCATAGTAAAGCAGGGCATAAAAGCGTCATAAAAATGTCATAGTATAGTATGGCATAAAAATGTTATAAAAACGTCATAGTATAGTAAGGCATAAAAATTGTCATAGTATAGTATGGCATAAAAATGTCATAAAAACGTCATAGTATAGTAAGGCATAAAAATTGTCATAGTATAGTATGGCATAAAAATGTCATAAAAACGACATAGTATAATAAGGCATAAAAATGTCATAAAAACGACATAGTATAATAAGGCATAAAAATCGTCATAGTATAGTATGGCATAAAAATGTCATAAAAACGGCATAGTATAGTAAGGCATAAAAACGTCATAGTGTAATAAGGCATGAAAAACGCCATAGTATAGTATTGCATAAAAATGTCATGAAAAAGTCATAGTATAATAAGCCATGAAAAACGCCATAGTATAGTATGGCATAAAAATGTCATAAAAACGTCATAGTAAAGCAGGGCATAAAAGCGTCATAAAAATGTCATAGTATAGTATGGCATAAAAATGTTATAAAAACGTCATAGTATAGTAAGGCATAAAAATTGTCATAGTATAGTATGGCATAAAAATGTCATAAAAACGTCATAGTATAGTAAGGCATAAAAATTGTCATAGTATAGTATGGCATAAAAATGTCATAAAAACGACATAGTATAATAAGGCATAAAAATGTCATAAAAACGACATAGTATAATAAGGCATAAAAATCGTCATAGTATAGTATGGCATAAAAATGTCATAAAAACGGCATAGTATAGTAAGGCATAAAAACGTCATAGTGTAATAAGGCATAAAAATCGCCATAGTATAGTATGGCATAAAAATGTCATAAAAAGGTCATAGTATAGTATGACATAAAAATGTCATAAAAACGTCACAGTATAATAAGGCATGAAAAATGCCATAGTATAGTATGATATAAAAATGTCATAAAAACATCATAGTATAATAAGGCATGAACAATGCCATAGTATAGTATGGCATAAAAATGTCATAAAAACGTAATAGTATAGTAGGGCATTTGGTTGACGGCTCAAAAAGCCAATCTTTGTTTTGCAGGGGTGGCAGGGTTGTTGTGTCCCTACCAATGTTGACATTAAACCTACACCCTTGACTGTAGCTCAATACAGTCAATTTCCGGAGACAAGCTCTTAGCTTCTATTTGCAAGATACAATTTTTGCCAAACAGTAATGACTACACTTACTATGTATTAAGTGCAAAACAGACTCACTTTTGTAAGGGTCTTATCCATAGATATGACCAGTTCCTCCTCAGGTAACATAAAAGTCTTCTTATACCAGGTCTCAAATTCTGGGACACACACACATGGGGAATGGATTATTTCCAGTAACCTTGACTTTCTCCTAATCTATCGAAAAAATTAAAGCTGTGAACATTTTATGCTCTTTCAGGGAGGTAGCATATTTTTATACTTTTCAAAACTGACCAGAGAGCAGGTGCACCCTGCATTGATCCACAAGGTGTTGACAGTAGTTGACCTCTGCCTTGATGTTACGCAGTGCCTCATACCTCTGCCGGTACAGGGCCTTCAGCTCTCTGAGCTGCAACAATAAAGTGGCATCTGGCTCCTCCTCCATAACCAAATACTGACCTTCATACAAAAACACACAAAATGTATTAACCTCTGCACTAGTACAGTCCTTTTTGTTGGTATCAATATTAACTCATGCTGTGCAGACAAGCTCTGTGAAAACACACACACACACACACACACAAAAAAAAAAACATTTTTAGTCAAAGTTTCAAAAGATATGATATTATTCTTATTTGAGCATTCATTTGTAGTTTAATTAAAATACAGTGCGGGAGCATAGAAGTTCATTCTTAAACATGACAAAATAATTTCAACTAAAAGGTTCACTTAAAGCTTTTTAAAGATCTTTCAACAGTCCACAGCAGCCAAAAGTTCTAGATATGGGTACGGTGAGCTCACCTGAGCCAGTTTTTGTTTTTGCCAGATTATTTTGTCAGATATTTCAGTGTATCTCTGTTTTGGGAACTGTTTGTTCAAGTTGACTGGGCAAGTGTACATATGAATAAAATAAAGAATAAAATGTTTCAACAGAAACTGATTCACTTCAGGACCATTAAGAGCAGCACTTTACTGACACTAATGCGCTATGTATGAAGTACCTTGGGTTTCTCTCATCTGTTTGTGCTGCTGTATGGTAGCCGTTGTGCAATCAATCTCTCTCTTGACAGCGTTGACCTCCTCAATGAGCTGCTGAAGGAGCCTGCGGCGTTCTAGCAGCACAGCCTTGTTCTCCTTAAGGATGCAGTTGATCTTGCTGCCTTGTCCCACCTTAAAATCCTCAAATGCCTCTGCTTTGAGTGGATGAGGTCTGGGCACAGACAGCAAACTTTTGAGTAGGAAGGTTATAAAACAATAATATGTGCTCCTTCCATTTATAGGACAACCAATGATACCAGAGCTAAACATTTAACAGATATTACTATATTCATTACATCTACTTACTCAGAGTGAGAGGGTTCATTGCCAGGCTGCTGTGATTCCTGTGTGTCCGGGCTCTCAGTGTCTGGTTCTTGTGACTCCAGTTCCCCCTCAGGTATCTGGATAGAATTCAGCTTTGATTTGGAGGCACTCTCCACATGTCTTCTTGAAACTGGACTACCTTCTTCCTGCCTTTTGCTTTGGCTGAATAATCACAATAAATGTGCCATTAGGAAAACCTAACTAATGTATTAAATATAGTCCAGTCATGAGGGCTTCAAACAGGCAGATGTTGTCCCAATTACATATTGATGAGATAAGATCAATAACAGGACCTAGGAGGGTATTATTTAATCAATCAACTATCGAAGTCTGAGGCAATTTCTGTGGCACTCATGCCCATGTTGATGGGACATTTGAAAGGCTTTTTTATGTCTGTCAGGACTAGTTTGTGAGACTTGCTGTCTGACCATGTCGGAAATAAAAAAAAAAACAAAAAAAACAACAAAAAGCCACAGCTGGACTATACCTGATCCAGCCACACGTGAAGGCAGAGTGAAAAGCTGACCATTGTAGAGAGGGGGAGATGTGATATATATATATATATATTTTTTTTTTTATATGGGAATAATGGCTCACATTTTCAAACTGTCTCTCCAGGACGACATTCATAATGATGTGCTTGGTTGATACATATACTTTCCACTGACAGAATCGGCAGTGTAACAAATTAAAAAAGAAAGCTGTTGTTATGCTTATGTTATGCTTTTGGGAGATATAAACAGGAAGTATAATGTTGCTACAGTCTTTTAAGCCTCAGATAATGCTGTCCTCAGAAAGAGTAACTCACAAGTGTTAAGTCATATTAAGGGTTTTTAATTCAATTTTAATTTAATTTCAATTAACAATTTTGATTTCACAAAAACAAATGTACATGTTTCTGCCAAAAATTTGTCTCAAGGGGAAACTGAAAATCGTTGCACTGTTATGAAAATAATAAAGACAATGAGTGTCAGCACAATTTACTGGTTTCAGTCTAAAATGTTTACTTACCTCTGTTTGTCCCTCTGCTTCTTGGTTTTGGATTTGGTTGAACTTGGACGCTGGGTCTGTTTCTGTGACTGAGCAGACACCCCAATGTTGCCAGCTTCAACATCCTCAGTGCTGCTCCTGGTATCTAACTCCTAAAGAGTGAACAAAGCAACAGCCAATCCAAGCTCAGTCACAATGATATGTTACCTTAAAGGGCTCATCACTGGTAAAATGGACAAATTAAGTTACAGCTGCTAATTTCCATGAGGTGCCCTTAACCAAGAATCAGATGTTGACTGACCTTGATGGCAGATGTGTTAGCAATTTGGTTTTTCTCCACCAAGTTGTAGGTCTGGCATAGTTGAGCTTTCACCTTCTGCTCCTGTTCCCTGCTCACATACAAACATAGACATGCTTAGTAACCTGTCATTAGCCAATAAAGCATTGTTCCAAAATATATACTGTACTTTAAAATTGCAGATTTCAGAATGTAGATACTCACTCAATAGCAAGCTTAAACTGGGCAAAGACTGCGTGGACCTGCCTGATACTTATAATCTGTAATTAGATGTCATGCAGAGATAAATGTAAAGCCTTTAAAGGAGAATGCCAAGCCAAAATTTGGTATGTCAGATAAAGTATTAATAGCTAGGTTCTTTGTTATGTTCTCACACTGATTTCCTTCAGGCTTCCATCTAGGTACCTCTGAACCTGGCCGTTGATCTCAGCCAGCTGGGCTTCAGACAACGGCTCGTACGTGATGCTCGGCCTCCTCACCTGGTGAAAGATGAATGGCCTAATATGAACCAGCTGAAATGTGTAAAAAGAGGCACTGGATTGCCTCTTGTCTCAACATGATCTCCATGACAAAAGAACACATATGCTCACCATACTAGAATACAAGAATACAATACAAAAATGCTAATGGAGGTTTAGAAAACGCAATGCAAATTTATGCATCAAGGAAACCCAAAAATCTACTACAGGTGGGCTACCTGTGGTATATATATGACGTTCTGCACAATGTACTGTTCTTGAGTTATCGTTTACATACGAAAAATCGATTTCCCGCTAATTAAGCTTATTAGTTCATTAATTTGTAAAAAAAAAACTTTATTGTATTTTTTTATGAATTACATACTTTAAAAACAGGCCTTTTTTAAAATAAAAAAAACATGTTATGGAAGGGTTAGTATTTGCATACAATTCTAACACATAATGGAACATGAACACCTTGAATCACTTTCCTGTTGGCCCTACTCACAAGTGTATTGTAGATGGACAGTTCCTCTTTAAGCATCTGTACCTCCTTCTGAAGTTTCTTGATCTGAAGCTAATCAGAACAGAGAATATAAGATCACTGTGTTGTCTGATGACAGACACAGCACAACACACTGTAATCAAAAAGTAATACATATTTTAACCCTTATATGTGTGTGTGTGTGTGTGTGTGTGTGTGTGTGTGTGTGTGTGTGTGTGTGTGTATATATATATATATATATGAGACCTCCCATAGAAGTGTTGTGGTATGTGTAATATCATGTGAACTCACAGCTGGATCCATGTGTTCATTAATTGCAGGGTCAGTCCGGACGCATTTCATTCTGCTCGCAAAACGGAGAGTAGAGAGCTGCAAAGAATATAAATTATCATCCAAAGGTGAAATGACAACATGTACAATAAAATGAGATTGCTTATTGTTTATACCATATATTCCACTCCTTACTGTTTCTTCTATGTGTGCAGCCTCACCATAGATGTTGGCCACAAGCACAGTGTTGCAGTTACCTCCTGCAGAAACAAATACATTATGTATTACTACACAGCAAAGAACCACATGGACTACCAAGTATCATGTGTCAATGCTGTTAAAAACTGAAGGCCTGTCTCACCCAGTGAATCTTTAAGGGCATGTGTGAGTTTAGTTTGTCTGAAGGGAACATGGTCTCTGCGGCGGTCTGCCATAGCGAGGATGGCCTGCTCCAGGAACGACAAGGACTTGTTGATATATGTTGCTTCTTTTAACATCTGACCCTCGGACTGGGGGAAAAGGGAAAGGGAAAGGGAAAAATGTAAAGTTATATGACAAATCGTACAGAAAAACATATTCTTTTCTTCACATTGTCCAGGGGATCAAAAAGACAAGACCCTATAATATTATAACTGGGCAAATTTGAAATAGAATAAGTGATTCCCACATGTGTCTAACAAGTGTGAACATTCCCAAGCTCACCCCAGTCTTTCCCAACCTCTCAGACCCAGCCAAATCCACCAGACTCAGCTTTGAGGTGATGTACTCAGCATCAGATAAAGTCCGTGAGTGAGCCTGATCAAGAAAGACATGTGTCCTACTTAAAATGAGGGCTAATTACAGAACAAAATGTGAAGACAAAAGGGCATGTCTGACTATTGAAACTACAGTTAATAATATAGTAAACCATGAATGTAACTGGACTCATACCTCTATATGCAAAGTGAAGATACAGTGGGACCTGGAGGAGTTCCTGTTCAGGGCATGAGATCCAATAACGCGATTCATCTCACCCTGAGTTTAGAAAGAACAGCTCTGTAAATGCTATAGTTTCAATTTATTCATCCATAAAAGTGGTTTTTACACTGCTCACCCAGGTCAATAAAACAACAACACACACCAAGCACTTTATTAGAAACACCATACTAATTCTGGTCAGGGCCTTCCTTTGTTCTCAAAACAACCCCAATTCTTTGTGGATTCCACAAGATGCTGGAAACATCTCTTCAAGATTTTGGTCTATGTTGACATGATTGCATCGCCTCATTTCTGCAGTTTTGTCAGCTGCACATCTTTCTACAACATCCCGAAGGTGTTCTATTGGATTCAGATCTGGTGATTTGGGAGGCCACTGTGTACACAGACCTCATTGCTATGTTCATGTTACTCATGAAGTAGCCATTAGAAGATGGTAAATTGTGGCCATAGAGGGTTGCACATGGTCAGCAACAATACTCAGACAGGCTGAGGCATTCAAAGCATGACTGATTGGTATTTGGGAACCAAAGTGTGGCAAGAGCACATTCCCCACAGCATTACACCACCAGCAGCAGCCTGGACTGTTGACACAAAGCAGGTTCATGTTGTTGACACCAAATTCTGACTATCATCTCCGTGCCTCAGCAGAAATCCAGATTCATCAGATCAGGCCTTCAGCTGTCCAGTTTTGGTGAGCCTGTTCCCACTTGGATCAACATTTTGAAGCATTAAAATATCTATATAATATAAAATATAAACTTAACAATGACCAAATTTAATTTGATATTTTTAGGCCATAAGAACATCTCTTTCATTACTTAGAGATTTTCACTGCTGTAAAAACAAAGTAGTGACACACCTCAAACAGCAGATTGAGTGCCTCTTCTTCGGTGTGAACTGGGTGAAGAGAAAGACCTCTGATGAACACCCCTCTGCCTGGCTCTTCCATCACCACCATGGCCCGAGGAGACAGGTGAGGTGAGTCCTGTAGCGGTGCCAGCAGGTCCACGAGGGTCTCATTGTAGATCTCCAGGTAAGACAGGTGGACTGAAAAAGAATGATCTGTCCTCTTCTCCACCTCCTGAAACACCTGAATGCCATGTTAGAGATTCAAAAAGTTTTATATTGAAATTGAGCCGTCAGGGTGTTTCAGAGGTTAAGATTAACACAAGCTTATAGATACCTCCTGAAGGGCCCGAGGAATGATTCCTCTCTGCTTGTATGATTCTGTAGATCCTGTCATGGTGTAGGTTTTTCCTGCACCTGTCTGCCCAAAGCACATCACAGTACCTGGAAAATACACAACAGACGACAATAAATAAAACTATTCAATTATTTACTTAAAGTTAAATCAGGGCAATCTCCAAAACTAGACTAGGGAATTTGGGCCCTTTTACTGGCTGTTACAGGGTCACAAGAAAAGGGCCACAGAAAAACAACAGAATTGACATTAATTTGGATTCCTTTATCTGGTACGAATACCTGACACTGTTGGTTTTATGTACAAATTAAGATCTACCATTATAGCCATCCAGTGCTCCCTGTACCACCCTTCGACACACTCGGGTATACACTTCCTCCTGAGACACATCCTGCAGGACCCCCTCCAGCCGGAATGACCAGGACCTCAGCCGTCCTTTTTTGGATTCCTGGAGCTTCCTGGAGTCTTTTCTTTGATAGATGTTCACTGTCTGAAAGCCAGAACACAAAGAAAGTTATAGGTGTACACAAGCAAACACATAAATTATTTAATTTTTTTGCCTTTAATTGGATAAGGGACAGTGAGAGAGTGATGGGAAAGTTGGGGGAGAGAGAGCGGATGACATAAAGCAAAGAGCTTGTGCTGGATTTGAACATGAGCCGTTGCAATAAGGACTGAGCCTAAGTTGTATGCCCTCTACCAGGTGAGGCACAGAGGGGCCCTGACAAATTATTTTCAAGCACAAAAAACTAATGCATTAATTGAAATTATGCCACTGTGTTGTGTTAGCTTTCAGGACTAAATACTGATGGAATATCTGAAATGTGATGCAGTTTGAAATGGAAAGGCAAAACACTAACTCACCTGCATTTTTGAGACATGCGCAATAATATTAGGAGGTTATGTTATAAAATTGGAAAACCTGGAAAAAATGTCAACACCTCCATTATATAAAGATATGGATGTGGTGTAAACTGAACACTTGAAAGTCAAAACATCTTGGCAAGTACACGGGGAGATAATTCAATAACTACCAATCTACTCACCTATCTATATCTCTAACAGGTATCTGTATACAATGTGAAATTCACAGTTCAAACACTTAACAGTTCAAAAGCCAGAGATATTTAAGATCATAAAGTACTAAAAAAAAAAAAAAAAGGTTTGACATAACATCAAAAACAAGAACAAGTGGTACCTTTCTTTAAAAAATAAAAATAAAAAATTATATAAAAAAAATAAAAGTTGCAGTTTAATTTTCTGTCAATTGACTACTGTAGTCAATATACTGTGTACTGTAGTAAGCAACATATAAGGTGGTTAGCCTACCTGGTGTAAGTAATATCATTACTGGCTCCACTTCATTTAGCTGTCATGTTAAGCCATGACAATGAGCAAGCATGCATAATCAACTAGATACCTACCGTACATGTGGAGTGCAGCAACCATTACTGCAATTAATTACACCTGTGCATTTTATTTAATGACGTTAAAATGTGAAAATTAAGCTAACGTTAAAATGTTTAGCCAAGATTCAGAAACAAGAGACATCTACAGTAGGTTAAAACTGTTTTTCGTTTGTTTGTTCTGTACTTACTTTACACATACCTTTTTGTAGCATGTCCTAGGTCAATGCTTACACTTAAAATATTTACCTTTAAGTCATGTAACCAATTCGCCAGTTAACCACTTGCAAATTACGAAAATCACATTTAATGGGCAATGATAGCATAAGGATTCATTTTCAACCTCCACCAAAGAAAACAAACGGCTTTTTCCAATTCTAATCACCTCGAAATAACCTTTTACTTACCTAGAGTTTTAGTTCAATGACGACTAGCTTACGGCTTCCCGAGTCGATTTAAATTAATTTTAACGATAGTGGTATTAAAACAGGAATTTACCTGCCCATCAGGAAGACATTCAATGAGGCCTTGAGCGAAGTTGGCGGTCGGTCTGATCCGGACAAACACTACGACATCACTGCTGTGAGCCTTCATACCACCTGTCTAAAAGACGACGGCAACGGAGGAAATTCTGGTCTAAACCTGGGTCTAACTGTACAAATATAACAATTAAAGCCACCTCAACTATTCGGACGTGAGGTTTTCAAGTGAGAATGGGTAATTTCAGCTCCAGTCCATCTTTTCTGTTCCGTTTACCTTCAGTTTCTATTCAGCGCCATAGCAACCACGGCGACCGCGCGTGCACAGTGTGGCAAAGTGGTAGAGCGCGCACCGGCATTGTGCCACCTGCCACCTGAAGGTGATTTTATTAGATAAAAAAGCCACAGTGATTGCCAGTGGTCGCTATAACAACGTACATTTACCTATGTCTTGTACTTACAAATCTGAGCTACTTATACTTTACTTGGGTTCTGTTTCTATTTCATGTTACTTTATACTACCCTACATTTCAGAGCAAAATAGTACTAGTAATAGTACTTTGTACTCCACTAACCTACATCAGCTTTATTTAGGCTACAAGCTACCTTACAGATTCAGATTTTGCATTTAAAACATACATGCATGCATGGATGGGCCTTCCAGGCACAGGCCCAGAGTCTCTGTATGAAGTGACTATTAGCATTTCTTCCTTGAAAGTTGTAGAACTCAAAAGACAGTAAAGGACCACAATGAAATGCAAAATGATGCACAATCACAAATAGACAAAATGATTAGAAAGAAACACAAAATGACCAGAGACACCAAACAATCACAAAGAGACACAAAATGACTACATGCATTGCCACAGAGAGACAACAGAGAGACAAAAACAACTACAAAGACACAAAAAAGGCTGAAATGAGACAAAACAATTACAAAGAGACACAAAACTACAATAAATGATGGGTTGCGTTATTTGTAGTTGATTTAAGCCTTTTTCAGTTTGGGACCTTTTCCCTGTCTGTACCCAAGGGTCCATAATCCATCTATGAAGAAATCATAAAATATGATGGCAGCATGGTATCGGTTTATCTAATGGTAAAGGTCTAAGCAATATAAGCATTCACTTGGAATTGTGTTTCTGGTGACCTGACTAACTGAAGTGCAACATATCTGGAGATTTTGCTGGTGGATATGGTCACCGGTAATACATTAACTTTGTGAAATATACTGCAGTTGGTTACATAACAGTCTCCACCTACTGACATGAACACTATAAAGCCAGTGTATTTGCACACAGGAAACTAATCTTTGTTCAAGATGAGAGGGCTTACATTACTCTGTCTGATGGGATTCATTTTCACGGTATCGACATCAAATGTGGTAAGATTGGTGCTTTTCCCCTACCCCTACAACATGTATCATGCAAGTTCCGAGACAGGGGGTCATTTATTGATTATGGAGCTGCTGTGTTTGAAATCTAATGTCAATATCATTACTGTCCAAACTCTAATTGCAGCTCTAAACTTTAAATTACAGTGGCCAAAGGGAAGCAGGACACCACTTGAAAATATTGAGGGGTTTAACACAGAAACCAACTCAACAACGGTGGGTAGACGTTGTGGGAGAATGGCATTATGTCTAATTCCAACAAAAGTTTAGTCATGCTGCATTTTAAGGCTTTGTATTATACATGGATTGTGAGGTGAAAATGTCAAAATCAGACAATAAATGCATTAATTGGACGAATGAAAAACTATTTTATAAAGTTTAATTTAATCCATAAAAAATGAAACATATGGAAAAATTGATAAGCATTTAGCCTCAAAACCACATACACTGTTCTGCTAGTGTAAATACTCACTATAGCACCAAATGTGTATTAATCCATGGCTGTAGACAGTCCCCAACAAATGTACAAAGAGATCACTGAGGAAACTTCTGTAATCAGCGGAGGCTGACAAGCACTGGGTGTAGCACAAACTGAAGAGCCAACTATAGGCACACATATATATATAGAAACACTGAGCATTATAACCACCATCAAGGTAGGATTTATTTCAGGACTGTTTTATTAGACATTAGTTTTACTGCAGCTAAGCGGACCTAATAACCTGGCAACTGACTTTTGAAACTTGCTTTAGTTATATAATCCATCACAGGTTTGTGTTTAAAATGCTTCTGTTTTCTTTGGCTTTCACACCTTGTTTTTATGGGTTGTACACTTACATATAATTTCTTCTATTTTAACTCCCAATATTTTCTCGTATAAAAAAACGTTTGTTTTGAAAAGTGCTACATAGTACTGATTTTGATTATACATCCGCAGTAGGCTACAATGTGAAATCCACTGGATCCCTGGTTTCCTGTATGTGAGGAATATCTTCTATGATGTCTGCCCGTTTCCTTGAAGTTACTGTTTTTTTCTACTTTTCAACATACGTACATGACGATGAAGTGTTACTGATCTTTCCCTTTTCAGTGGAATGGTACTAGTGAGGCAATTGAAAACAATTATGGGTTCCCACCATTACCTGCTGACGAAGCAAACACCCAGGTAAGAAACTGTTCAAAACTCAAGGACAACAAATTACAGGGACAGCACCCTTAAATATTTCTGAATCTCTCATTTGATGTTGCAAGTCAAATGATGTTTAATCTGAAAAACAACTATGAAAACTGAGCGCTAATCGCACTACTAATCTCATTAATGTTCTTCAGTATATGTGTGTGTTTCCAAAGAGGGTGTGGAAAATAACTGCAAATATTTCATTCTTCAGGGAAATAGAAAACAATGAAAGACGACAAACGGCAGAGGGCTCAATTCAATTTGTTTGTTTGGGGTCTATTCCCAAGAGATGAGTTCAATTTAAATAGTTTATCCCCCATTTAACAAAGTTCACATCTGCTCTGGCAAAAGGATATAACACAAGATTAACCAGACACAGGAAAGTTGGGGAGAGGGGAAAGGGCCATGGGTTGGACTCAAACCGCTGCAGTAAAGACTAAATCCTAAATGGTATGTGCTCTACCAGGTGAGTCCCTGGGGTGCTCCAGACTCTTGAAACTTGCTTGAGTTGTATAATCCATCACAGGTCTGCATTATATTGTTCTGTAAAAGTTAAAATCACTACGTCTTTAAAAAGCATGTTAAAACTCATCTGTTTTATTTGATTGTTACACCTCCTTTTTAAAGTGTTACATAAATAAATTTTGCTAGCTCACGTGCTAATACAACACCAACAAAATTTAACGTGAACTGCATTGCCTCATCTGCAATACATTGTGAAATCCAAAGGATCCCTGGTTTACTGTAGTGTGAGGAGTATCTTCTATGATGTTTGCCAGTTTCCTTGAAGTTATTGTTTGAGTCTGGTACTGAGTCTGTGGTAGAAAAAGTATGGACTGAATGTATGGACGGGTTTTTAATCAAACTGGCTTTGTCTAACAGTCCTTAAAAGGCTTTCTACCAAATCCAATGTCAACATCCTTTTAGGAGAAGATAATCAAAATCAACAAAACTGATAAAAACAAACTGGACTTTGATATAAGGCAATAAGTGAAGCATTAAACTAAACACACTCCACCTCCAGACAACAACAATATAAAAGTAGGGTGTATGTGTGGCCAGGAGGCGAATTTATTTTCAAGATGAGAGGGATCACACTGCTCTGTTTGATTGGGTTCATTTACACAGCATCAGCTTATCACGCAAGACTGAAGACTGTACTGAAAAGCAAATGTTTTTAACTGATTAAAAATGCTAACTGCTAATATTCTGCAGTTTTCAATTCGTTACACTTTTTCATTAACTTATACTGTTTACAACAAAATGAGTTATCCTTATTTAAGATAAAGTTCTTTGACCCACATTAATGTCGGTTGAATATCTCTCGCTGATCTTTCAGGATTGTAGTTGTCAAGTTGTGCAATCTGAAATTTTTTTTTTCAAATATTTTATTTTATATTTCCAGTAACAAAAAAAGTAATCTGGTTGCTCAGATTATTTTGGTTATTTTTGGATTTTAAAATGATGTGAAATATATGAATGTAAGACAATAAATAAAACTACTACATTTATTTTGGTAAAACTCAAATACCATAATTTAGGAGGAAAATTTAAAACCTGAACATCTATTATGCTAGTAATCAATCTAATTCAATCAATCAATCTTGTCTGACCATCTTCTGTCAATCAAGTAATCCATGAAAGAAAAGTTCTAATGAGCAACTGGAGACCTAAGACTCTTTAATTTTCAAAATCAAAATATTTAATTGCTAAGAATTAAGTGATATTTAAATTTCATAATTTAGATATTACATAAAATATATTTATCATAGACAATCTTGCTTCCATACCGATTTCAATTGACATTTTGATACAGCTCTAGCATAAAAAAGTAAACTATGAATACATTTTATTTTTCTACTTTAGAAAAGTACTGAGTTTGGCACTAAGCCCCTAGATTTCATTTTAGACACAACTTAGTGTGTAAATTCTGTCAGACTGTAACTACTTAAAACTCAAACTTCAAATTTTCTTTTTTAAATAAAAGACAGTCAAAGAACCAAAAAAAGGTCAAATTCATATATACTAAAAGCTATGGGACTAATATATCAGGCATGTAACTATAACAAGTATGTACGAGTGATGATCTTTGATTCTATATACAAGCCTTTCTGGTTTGCAAGAAATAAGCATTAAACAAGACTAAAAGTACACTTCATTTTTATTGTTTTTAATCTTCAAGAATCATAGAAATACCTACAGTAAAGGCCTAGAGCATGTATCACACTGCTTCTATTTCTGTGAAGTCCAAAGTCGACGACCATGCAGGAACCAGCAAACACTCACTCTTATGTCATTGGATTATGGTCAATATTTATGTATTTTCTAATTAAAGTGCAATGCTTTTCTATTTCAGGCACCAGTAGAAGAGAAGATAAAAGAACATAATTTGACAGCACAGGTAGGTAGACTTAACTCTCATAAACTAATGATTAACATATGATTGGGTTTTCTGGGCAGGCGGGAGAAATAAAATATAACAGCCGATGTTGCAAGTCAAATGGCGTCTAATCTGAAAAACAACTATGAAAACTGAGTGCTAATTGCACTACTAATCTCATTAATGTTCTTCAGTATATGTGTGTGTTTCCAAAGAGGGTGTGGAAAATAACTGCAAATATTTCATTCTTCAGGGAAATACAAAACAATGAAAGACAACACACGGCAGAGGGCTCAACTCAACAGACACCAACACATTTTAAGTCCTAATGGAGAAGGACCACAGTCAGGATGAGGAACCACCAGGCAATTTAATCGCTCTGCTACTACTTCTTTTAATTAAACATTTCATTAAAGCTAATGTGTGAAAATGTTCTTTCATTTCCTCATTTGTTTGTTTTGGGTCTATTCCCAAGAGATGAGTTCAATTTAAATAATGTATCCCCCATTTGACAAAATTAACATCTGCTCTGACAAAAAGACATCAAAAAAACATCATTGAGCTACTATAAACCACAGTGCCTAGTTGTTTTAGGAAAAACATACATACATGTGTGATCTGTTTTTAAAAGAAAAATGATCTTGGGGAGCCAGATAGTGTTGAGGTGGACAAACCATGGTTTTGGTCCTTTCAAGGGATTTGCTAACAATTACAAAAGGTATAGAGCAATGTCAGCCTTATCCTTTAAACAAGCAAAGACATTTATAAAAGCGACACCACGTAGCAAGTCTTTAGATGACAAAAGTCCTACAATTCAATCGACTCCATTCCCTCTGAAGTTTAAGATTTGAAAAAAAGTCCAAAATGTCTTTGACTGGAAGCAGGATCACTCTCTATTTGTGTTAGTATCTACTGACAGAAAATCGACAGAAAATTAAGCAACATCTATTTTGATAATTATTTTAGTCCTTTTCCCCCAATCAAAAATCTCTAAACTGAAGCTCCTCAAATAGGAGGATTAGCTGTTTTTCTTTCAGATATGTGATTGTAAACTGAACACCTTTGGGGTTTGCCTTGATGTTCAGACAAAACAAGAAATTTGGAGATCTTGGGGAAATTATAATAGATATTTTTCACAATTTTCTGACATTTTATGGACAAAATTATTAATCAAGGTAATAATCTGCAGATGAATCAGTAAGGAAAATAATTATCTGGTGTCAAACCACAGAAAAGCATTTGTTACCAAAAACAATGTATCCAGACTAGAAACCAGCTTTAATTACACTACTTTTGATTGTAGTTATTGGGGTTAATATATTTTAAATGTAATGCCATTTACGACACCAAACTGTAGGCAGACTTTGCTGGAGTAAACGATGTCACATTTGTCAACAAATGTACAAAGTTGGACTTTGATATTAAACTACAACTGAAGATAGAAACAAACTAACAGACTCCACCTACTGACATGAACACTATAAAACAAGCATATGAGCATAAGGGGCTAATTTGTGTTCATGATGAGAGGGCTTACACTGCTCTGCTTGGTGGGACTGATTCTCGCAGCCTCGGTAAGTTCCATGGATTTTCAGAGATTTATTGAAAAGGAAACAACTTTAACTGATTAAAAATAATTATCAGTGCTATTACTCTGTGTGTTTTATGTGTAATTCTCCGATGTATTACTCTGGCTCTGATCTGTAGAAGAAAGTACTTTGCTTCTAACTGAATGTGTGTTACGTAAAAGACTGAATACATACTAGAATACATGAGTCTTTCACAGGTTATTTAGTGTAGTCTTTCTCTCAATGAACAGGTAAATTTAGCAACTCTGAAATCTTAAATGAAGAATTTCAATGTGCATTTTCTTCTAGAATGACTGAATAAGTTGGACCATTATTGATTGATTGATTTGCTGCCGGGTTTGAAATCCAATGTCAATGACATTGCAGAAATAGAATAAACAAAAGGGCAAAAGGACATTATGCAAACTCCAAGTATTGTGTAACTGCTTTGGGATTATAATTTGTTTTTAATTCAAGTGCTATGTATTTCAATTTCAGTGGACTAACGGGGACACAGTGCCGACTAGGAGGTCTATTTTTTTAAAGAATCAATAAATAAATCAGCAGAGCTCAACAGCATCAATCATACTACTGCTGTTTCTTTCAAAGGGCTTTATTTTTCTATTATTTAGCTGCTTAATTGAAAACCAATGTCAGTGTCCTTTGTAGGATTTCAAAAGCTGTCAAATGTTTACTTAGTGAACACTATGATGTCCTGGGACTGAGGTTAAATAATCATTTTCAATTTAAATTACAGGGTTACTCGAAATCAACAACCCCAATGGGAAACGAAGATGGATTTAAAAATGGAACCAACTCAACGGTGGGTAGACTGGTATACTGGTTTCAAAGAGGAGTACTGAGTTTGGCACTGAGCCTGTGGTAGGAGCATTTGGACTGAACATGAGGTGTAGCATTGAACACAGTCATTGATAACTTGGTTTTCAATCAATTTCACTTTCTCCAACTGTGTCCTTTTTACTACAAAATCACTATATTATCTGCTAACCTATTAAATAAAGTTTTTCACTCTCTTTGCAATGGTTTGAATATCACCTGAATTTTACTTTCCAGGCCTCAGATTTAAAATTTCATTTTAGACACAACTTAGTGTGTAAATTCTGTCGGACTGTAACTACTTAAAACTTTGTCATTTTACTACAAAACAGAATATTCTGCTTCTAAATACCTGACTGTACTATGTTTTGGATTTTTGCATCTTCTATGTGTGTGAATAAGGAAGACTAAATTATTTGATGTACTGCATATTAAATATTATGGGACAGATGTTCTTGTTTATTGAAGTATTAAACATTGTTTGCACAACCAGTTTTTGGATTCAAATTTTCTTTTTTAAATAAAAAGACAGTCAAAGAACCAAAAAAAGGTCAAATTCATATATACTAAAAGCTATGGGACTAATATATCAGGCATGTAACTATAACAAGTATGTACAAGTGATGATCTTTGATTCTATATACAAGCCTTTCTGGTTTGCAGGGAGTAAGCATTAAACAAGACTAAAAGTACACTTCATTTTTATTGTTTTTAATCTTCAAGAATCATAGAAATACCTACAGTAAAGGCCTAGAGCATGTATCACACTGCTTCTATTTCTGTGAAGTCCAAAGTCGATGACCATGCAGGAACCAGCAAACACTCACTCTTATGTCATTGGATTATGGTCAATATTTATGTATTTTCTAATTAAAGTGCAATGCTTTTCTATTTCAGGCACCAGTAGAAGAGAAGATAAAAGAACATAATGTGACAGCACAGGTAGGTAGACTTAACTCTCATAAACTAATGATTAACATATGATTGGGTTTTCTGGGCAGGCGGGAGAAATAAAATATAACAGCCAAATGACTTGGACACAAACTCAGAGATTAAGTGTGAACACACCAGAGTGTGAACTTCAGATTCATTTTTCAACATACTTACATCACCATGAAGAGTTACTGATTTCTTCCTCTTCAGTGGAATGGCACCAGAGAGGTGATTGAAAATGATTATGGGTTCCCACCATTACCTGCTGATGAAGAAAACACCCAGGTAAGAAACTGTTCAAAACTCAAGGACAACAAATTACAAGGACAGCACCCTTAAATATTTCTGAATCTCTCATTTGATGTTGCAAGTCAAATGATGTTTAATCTGAAAAACAACTATGAAAACTGAGTGCTAATTGCACTACTAATCTCATTAATGTTCTTCAGTATATGTGTGTGTTTCCAAAGAGGTTGTGGAAAATAACTGCAAATGTTTCATTCTTCAGGGAAATACAAAACAATGAAAGACGACACACGGCAGAGGGCTCAACTCAACAGACACCAACACATTTTAAGTCCTAATGGAGAAGGACCACAGTCAGGATGAGGAACCACCAGGCAATTTAATCGCTCTGCTACTACTTCTTTTAATTAAACATTTCATTAAAGCTAATGTGTGAAAATGTTCTTTCATTTCCTCATTTGTTTGTTTTGGGTCTATTCCCAAGAGATGAGTTCAATTCAAATAATGTATCCCCCATTTGACAAAATTAACATCTGCTCTGACAAAAAGATATCAAAAAAACATCATTGAGCTACTATAAACCACAGTGCCTAGTTGTTTTAGGAAAAACATACATACATGTGTGATCTGTTTTTAAAAGAAAAATGAGCTTGGGGAGCCAGATAGTGTTGAGGTGGACAAACCATGGTTTTGGTCCTTTCAAGGGATTTGCTAACAATTACAAAAGGTATAGAGCAATGTCAGCCTTATCCTTTAAACAAGCAAAGACATTTATAAAAGCGACACCACGTAGCAAGTCTTTAGATGACAAAAGTCCTACAATTCAATCGACTCCATTCCCTCTGAAGTTTAAGATTTGAAAAAAAGTCCAAAATGTCTTTGACTGGAAGCAGGATCACTCTCTATTTGTGTTAGTATCTACTGACAGAAAATCGACAGAAAATTAAGCAACATCTATTTTGATAATTATTTTAGTCCTTTTCCCCCAATCAAAAATCTCTAAACTGAAGCTCCTCAAATAGGAGGATTAGCTGTTTTTCTTTCAGATATGTGATTGTAAACTGAACACCTTTGGGGTTTGCCTTGATGTTCAGACAAAACAAGAAATTTGGAGATCTTGGGAAATTATAATAGATATTTTTCACAATTTTCTGACATTTTATAGACAAAATTATTAATCAAGGTAATAATCTGCAGATGAATCAGTAAGGAAAATAATTATCTGGTGTCAAACCACAGAAAAGCATTTGTTACCCAAAACAATGTATCCAGACTAGAAACCAGCTTTAATTACACTACTTTTGATTGTAGTTATTGGGGTTAATATATTTTAAATGTAATGCCATTTACGACACCAAACTGTAGGCAGACTTTGCTGGAGTAAACAATGTCACATTTGTCAACAAATGTACAAAGTTGGACTTTGATATTAAACTACAACTGAAGATAGAAACAGACTAACAGACTCCACCTACTGACATGAACACTATAAAACAAGCATATGAGCATAAGGGGCTAATTTGTGTTCATGATGAGAGGGCTTACACTGCTCTGCTTGGTGGGACTGATTCTCGCAGCCTCGGTAAGTTCCATGGATTTTCAGAGATTTATTGAAAAGGAAACAAATTATCAGTGTTAAAAATAATTATGTTTTATGTGTAATTCTCCGATGTATTACTCTGGCTCTGATCTGTAGAAGAAAGTACTTTGCTTCTAACTGAATGTGTGTTACGTAAAAGACTGAATACATACTAGAATACATGAGTCTTTCACAGGTTATTTAGTGTAGTCTTTCTCTCAATGAACAGGTAAATTTAGCAACTCTGAAATCTTAAATGAAGAATTTCAATGTGCATTTTCTTCTAGAATGACTGAATAAGTTGGACCATTATTGATTGATTGATTTGCTGCCGGGTTTGAAATCCAATGTCAATGACATTGCAGAAATAGAATAAACAAAAGGGCAAAAGGACATTATGCAAACTCCAAGTATTGTGTAACTGCTTTGGGATTATAATTTGTTTTTAATTCAAGTGCTATGTATTTCAATTTCAGTGGACTAACGGGGACACAGTGCCGACTAGGAGGTCTATTTTTTTAAAGAATCAATAAATAAATCAGCAGAGCTCAACAGCATCAATCATACTACTGCTGTTTCTTTCAAAGGGCTTTATTTTTCTATTATTTAGCTGCTTAATTGAAAACCAATGTCAGTGTCCTTTGTAGGATTTCAAAAGCTGTCAAATGTTTACTTAGTGAACACTATGATGTCCTGGGACTGAGGTTAAATAATCATTTTCAATTTAAATTACAGGGTTACTCGAAATCAACAACCCCAATGGGAAACGAAGATGGATTTAAAAATGGAACCAACTCAACGGTGGGTAGACTGGTATACTGGTTTCAAAGAGGAGTACTGAGTTTGGCACTGAGCCTGTGGTAGGAGCATTTGGACTGAACATGAGGTGTAGCATTGAACACAGTCATTGATAACTTGGTTTTCAATCAATTTCACTTTCTCCAACTGTGTCCTTTTTACTACAAAATCACTATATTATCTGCTAACCTATTAAATAAAGTTTTTCACTCTCTTTGCAATGGTTTGAATATCACCTGAATTTTACTTTCCAGGCCTCAGATTTAAAATTTCATTTTAGACACAACTTAGTGTGTAAATTCTGTCGGACTGTAACTACTTAAAACTTTGTCATTTTACTACAAAACAGAATATTCTGCTTCTAAATACCTGACTGTACTATGTTTTGGATTTTTGCATCTTCTATGTGTGTGAATAAGGAAGACTAAATTATTTGATGTACTGCATATTAAATATTATGGGACAGATGTTCTTGTTTATTGAAGTATTAAACATTGTTTGCACAACCAGTTTTTGGATTCAAATTTTCTTTTTTAAATAAAAAGACAGTCAAAGAACCAAAAAAAGGTCAAATTCATATATACTAAAAGCTATGGGACTAATATATCAGGCATGTAACTATAACAAGTATGTACAAGTGATGATCTTTGATTCTATATACAAGCCTTTCTGGTTTGCAGGGAGTAAGCATTAAACAAGACTAAAAGTACACTTCATTTTTATTGTTTTTAATCTTCAAGAATCATAGAAATACCTACAGTAAAGGCCTAGAGCATGTATCACACTGCTTCTATTTCTGTGAAGTCCAAAGTCGATGACCATGCAGGAACCAGCAAACACTCACTCTTATGTCATTGGATTATGGTCAATATTTATGTATTTTCTAATTAAAGTGCAATGCTTTTCTATTTCAGGCACCAGTAGAAGAGAAGATAAAAGAACATAATTTGACAGCACAGGTAGGTAGACTTAACTCTCATAAACTAATGATTAACATATGATTGGGTTTTCTGGGCAGGCGGGAGAAATAAAATATAACAGCCAAATGACTTGGACACAAACTCAGAGATTAAGTGTGAACACACCAGAGTGTGAACTTCAGATTCATTTTTCAACATACTTACATCACCATGAAGAGTTACTGATTTCTTCCTCTTCAGTGGAATGGCACCAGAGAGGTGATTGAAAATGATTATGGGTTCCCACCATTACCTGCTGATGAAGAAAACACCCAGGTAAGAAACTGTTCAAAACTCAAGGACAACAAATTACAAGGACAGCACCCTTAAATATTTCTGAATCTCTCATTTGATGTTGCAAGTCAAATGATGTTTAATCTGAAAAACAACTATGAAAACTGAGTGCTAATTGCACTACTAATCTCATTAATGTTCTTCAGTATATGTGTGTGTTTCCAAAGAGGTTGTGGAAAATAACTGCAAATGTTTCATTCTTCAGGGAAATACAAAACAATGAAAGACGACACACGGCAGAGGGCTCAACTCAACAGACACCAACACATTTTAAGTCCTAATGGAGAAGGACCACAGTCAGGATGAGGAACCACCAGGCAATTTAATCGCTCTGCTACTACTTCTTTTAATTAAACATTTCATTAAAGCTAATGTGTGAAAATGTTCTTTCATTTCCTCATTTGTTTGTTTTGGGTCTATTCCCAAGAGATGAGTTCAATTCAAATAATGTATCCCCCATTTGACAAAATTAACATCTGCTCTGACAAAAAGATATCAAAAAAACATCATTGAGCTACTATAAACCACAGTGCCTAGTTGTTTTAGGAAAAACATACATACATGTGTGATCTGTTTTTAAAAGAAAAATGAGCTTGGGGAGCCAGATAGTGTTGAGGTGGACAAACCATGGTTTTGGTCCTTTCAAGGGATTTGCTAACAATTACAAAAGGTATAGAGCAATGTCAGCCTTATCCTTTAAACAAGCAAAGACATTTATAAAAGCGACACCACGTAGCAAGTCTTTAGATGACAAAAGTCCTACAATTCAATCGACTCCATTCCCTCTGAAGTTTAAGATTTGAAAAAAAGTCCAAAATGTCTGACTGGAAACACACTCACTTACCCACTCAATACCCACTTCCACGTTTAAAGACTGATACATGACATCATTTACAAGGATCACTCTCTGTTTGTGTTAGTATCTACTGACAGAAAATCAACAGAAAATCAACAGAAAATTAAGGTAATAATCAAGGTAATAATCTGCAGATGAATCAGTAAGGAAAATAATTATCTGGTGTCAAACCACAGAAAAGCATTTGTTACCAAAAACAATGTATCCAGACTAGAAACCAGCTTTAATTACACTACTTTTGATTGTAGTTATTGGGGTTAATATATTTTAAATGTAATGCCATTTACGACACCAAACTGTAGGCAGACTTTGCTGGAGTAAACAATGTCACATTTGTCAACAAATGTACAAAGTTGGACTTTGATATTAAACTACAACTGAAGATAGAAACAGACTAACAGACTCCACCTACTGACATGAACACTATAAAACAAGCATATGAGCATAAGGGGCTAATTTGTGTTCATGATGAGAGGGCTTACACTGCTCTGCTTGGTGGGACTGATTCTCGCAGCCTCGGTAAGTTCCATGGATTTTCAGAGATTTATTGAAAAGGAAACAACTTTAACTGATTAAAAGTAATTATCAGTGCTATTACTCTGTGGGTTTTATGTGTAATTCTCCGATGTATTACTCTGGCTCTGATCTGTAGAAGAAAGTACTTTCCTTCTAACTTAATGTGTGTTAGTGTTTAGTGTAGTTTTTCTCTCAACAAACAGATAAATTTAGCAACTCTGAAATTTTAAATGAAGAATTTTGATTTGCTGCAAGGTTTGAAATCCAATGTCAATGACATTGCAGAAATAGAATAAACAAGACGGCAAAAGGACATTATGCAAACACCAAGTATTGTGCAACTGCTTTGGGATTATAGTTTGTTTTTAAATCAAGTGCTATGTATTTCAATTTCAGTGGCCTAACGGGGACACAGCGCCGACTAACAAGACTATTCCTGTACGTGAAGTAAGTGGCAGCAGGAGATACTGATTTTATTTGAAAGTAATTTACAAGACAGAACTGGTCCAAAAGATCACTGAGGGGACTGATTGTAACATAAAAAAGTGAAGTAGAAATAAATTTTATTTCTATATTTTAAAGAATCAATAAATAAATCAGCAGAGCCCTACAGCATCAATCATACTACTGCTGTTTCTTTCAAAGGGCTTTATTTTTCTATTATCAGATCAGAAAAGTACTGCTTCTGGATAATGCGTTAAACATAACGTTTTTATTATTTAATAGTTAATTTACAGACTGCTGAGCTCACAAACTGGGCTAGCCTTAGCTGTCATTACGGCTACATATCCCGAGTTGGCAAGTAAATTCACAAGGTCGCAATAGTTACAAGTAATTTACCTGGTTGCACAGGTGAGATGATTGTTGCTACTAGCCGGCCTAGCTAGCATCAAGATAAGCTCCACAACTAGCCTCCCACGAGAGCCAGCTGTTATCTTTTGACCTGTTCTCAAACTCGTTGCCTGTACCATCCTCTTCAGCGTTGTAGCTGTGTTTGTTAATTTGCTTTGCTTATTTTACAATAAGCACGTTTTTGAGCCCGCCAATCCAAGCCTTTCACAACCGGAACAAGCGCTGCATGGATGATTGCTCTGTGTGCACCAGTGCCACCCTGTGGCCGGCGAGAGTAAAAACAGGAGGATGTTGATCTAAGATGGAAGTGGAAATGTAGAGCTGAAACAACTAGTCGATTAGTCGATCAACAGAAAATTAATTGGTAACCATTTTGATAATCAAATAATCTTTTTGCCTAACAATTTCTGGTTCCCGCTTTTTTAAATCTAAAAAATAATTTTCTGTTCTTTGTAATATGCCATAGTAAATTGCATAACTGGACTATTGGTCAGATTTCCTTCAAAGAGGTTACATTGGGATGTGGTACATTATAATGGTATTTTTATAGGCTTACAGGCTTTTCATGTCTTATAAACAAATAATCATTAATGAACGTATTCATCAGTAGCACCCCTTAATGGATATATTTATTTTTTGTAAATTAAATAATACCTTTCAGACCAGTCTTAGAATTCATCCTCTGCCGAGTTCCACATTGATTAGGATGAAGTTGTATCAGATCGTTGACAGCACATTTTCAATTTCGATAATACAAGCTCCATAATGTAAAGAGTGTTAAGTTAGAGATTACATGTTATCATACAGAATGATGACATATTTTGGAAGAATATGTTTCATATTTATCAGATTACTCACAAATTATTACAGTGAGTTCCTGAAATAATTTCTTCTTTCCTTTCAGATGCCTCCTTGGAGTCCTCTTGGAAATTCTGATGGTTTTCCACCTCCATCACCTGATGGAAATGTGATTCAGGTAAGAAGCTATTCAGAACGCACCAAAATAAGCCTCTGATATGATGATGCAAGTAGAAAAAAACATATCTGGAAAAAAATAGAGAGGAAGAGATTGTGTTGTAATTAATAACAACTAATTTATTTAGATTTTACATTATATATTTTAAATGTTGGTCATCCTACCTTTTCAGGAAAAGCAATGATGGACAGACACAGCAGAAGGGCTCAACTGATGGCAGACATGACCATCTATTTACTCTGCTGATGCTACTGCCTCCTTCAAATAAACATTTAAGTCCATTGTGTGAGAAAAGTTTCTTTTATTTGTCAATATGCTTGGTATAGGGTAATTTGAAATATTTTTTTTCCCAAAAGACTTGGAATTCGACTTTGACAAATTGTGGATAAATTAACACCTACTCTGACAAAATGAGACATCACCAGAATAAAGGAAGTGACTATGGGAGAAATAGCAGGTTGACAAGTCTTCAGTTTACAAATAAACACCACATTTTATGGAAAAAGTCACTGTATAGAAATCCAAAAATTTTTTAACTTTAAAGATTCAGACAAGACTTAATTCACAAGGATCACTTTATTTTTTGTGTTAGGCTCTTCTCTTTTCATCACAAATATTATCTATGTCCACCCACAGTGTCCCAGCAGGGATCAACACTCCCTGACATCTTTTATGGAAAGGACAGATACATAGAACATAAATCCAGTTCTTCTTCACCTTTCTAAACATAACTATGCTTGTAGTAAAAACCCATTTGATTTTAACTGGGCGTACCACTGTTTTAAAAGTGGATAGTACTCTGTTGGTTTGGTGACAGTTTGTATTTACAGACCAGCAGTTGCTGTAACTCTCTGGAAATTAAGTTATGCACAAACTACCTGTTCTAAAAGGCTGCAATGAGGGCTGAGACAGTATGATACTCAAGGAGGAAAAGCCTTGTTAAAAAAGGTCGGTCTTAAAACTGGAGGTGAAATGTACCACTTTACGACAATCTGGGCAAACAACCTCAACAAATACGCTTTAAAAGTGGTTTTCTGTCGGCATTGTAACATGTGTGACAACTTCTTTCAAACCACAGTAAAGCATTTGTTACCAAAAGAATGGTTTCGGATTAGGAACAAGCTTTAATTACTCTTTTGCTGATGTCTAAAGATACCAAAATAAAGTGAGGGCAGCAAAGTCAAACATTGGATATGAAAGACAGTTAGTAGTTGTAATCATCAGGCAAACTACAACAGCACTACATTCTTGAACAGAGGGATTTTTTTCCTTTTGTATGTTTTTTTCACAAAGTGGTGAGATCCAGAGGCAGGCAACAGCCCGTGAGACAACAAGCAAAGTTCTCTTTAGATGACAAAGCAGTTTCTCTCTATCAGTAAGGCCACTTAATATAGAAATTCTAAATGAGGACCACAACCTATTACTTCTTGTCCATAGATCTTTGCAGAGTGTCATCATCATCATCATCATCATCATGAAGGAAAAAAACAAAGCTTCAAGTTTTTAAATCAAAGAGCCTGATGGCCAGCTTGTATGTGGGGGGGTTGGTGTTTGCCCCGTTCACCACCACAGCGGAAAAAAGCTCAGTCCACATGGTCACCACCAGCTATGCCGCTGAGGTAGTTTCCCCACTCCCGAAGCCCCAACCGCAACTCAAAAACACACCCGAAAATAACCGTGTGCGATTGGGTTATAGCGATCTTGCAAAAAAATAGATATTTTCACAGAAGTTTGTAAAATCATCTTGCCTAAAGTCTTCTTCGATCCTCTGTGGCTTTATCGAAGCAAGTTGAAGTCCAGAGAGAAGTTGCGCCATACAACTGCTGCTCTGAGTACAATCCACAAAGGACAACTACGTCATCTTTTGTTGCTGCTGCAGTGTTGTACGTTTGGGTGTATTTTTCTAATTCCTTTTCAATTATTCCATCTTTCAACAGCCCCTTCAGATGCAGTCCCTCAGGTTTGCCAACCAAATGTATGTGAAGTGTATTAGTGATCTATTTTAAGGGAGTGTGACTGTATGTGCATGTGCTGCAGTGGTACTACTGTGTATGAATGCATATATATATATATATGTGTGTGTGTGTGTGTGTGTGTGTATGTGTGTGTGTATGTGTGTTGTGTGTGTATACAGGGCTGTGTGTTTGTGTGAGTAACCAGTGTGGTGATGGTGGCAGCGTGAGCTCTGTCAGGACTGCAGTCCACACAGCTGGAGTTCAGCTTCCTTCAAGGGGCTGGGCATGACCGTGCTGGAGGGGCCAGGGGACGGAGGGGAGCGGCTCTACTTATCCCCAAGGATGGCGTACTGGTTGTCAAGTTGCAAGTGCTGCATAGAAGCGCCACCAGTCTCCTCTCTACCACGGTTCCTGTGTTTCACAACTTCAAAGGTCTTCTCCATTTCTCTGTCCCTAAAAGACAGACATGTATACATTTAGTGTTGAAGCAACTGGTGAGTTAATCTTACAGAAAATGAAGTGCCCACAATTATCAACCAATCTTCTAAGTCATCAAGAAACAGTCAAAAGTGTCTGGTTTCACATACTTAAATGTGAGCATTTTATCTGATTGTGAACTGAATATCTTCAGATATAAAACAATATGAAGATTTCACCTTGGACTTCTTGGAGAAATTGAAATTAGCATTTTTCTGACATATTATACACTAAACAATTAATCAAAAAGATTAATTTAATAGACAGATTGACTATGAAAATAAAATGTTTGCATCCAGCAAGACCTCAACCACGCAAACATACATGTTAAACAAAATATTATCACTTGAACTTTACTTACTTGCGTGTCTCCACATGCTTGGCAGTGGCCAGTAGAGAAGGGAACTGTGCGTCGCTGAAGATCTCTGGAGGTCCCTGGGTGTGGCTTCGTCTGTTAGTGGTCAGCCGAGCCCCTGGAGGGCGATATACGCCAGCAGGCTTCGCCTCAGGCACCTCTTCATCCTCTGAAAGCACAGGGGTAACATCAATTAGACAAGGAAACTAGATTTTCTGGATCCTAATTAAAATTAAAAATTATATAACCGTTAATAATCAGAAGTTTAGATACAAGTGTTACAGTTTGAACTTTTAAAAACAGCTATATTTTCCCTTTTTAAAACCGTTGTTAATTCCTGAGACTTTTTGTTGGGCTGAAGTTGGTTTACTCACCCACAGGTGGAGGAGGAGGGGGAGCAGCTCCAGATTTGTTCCAGGGTCCTGACACTTTGTCCCCACTGACCAGAATGATCTCTCCATCCTCACCAACCTCCTCTTTCTCATACTCCTCTTCCTCTTTCTCATCACTGCAAAACAAGTTGAGCAGAGATGAGATGCACTGATGCCTCCAGTCAGAGACAGTGGAAATTTTGAGGTGGCAGACATAACTGACCTTCAGGGTTAATTAACTAAATAGTACGCAGTTTAGCAGCTTATATGTTCTTAATGAGAACTTAAAAGATTTGGTCTGGAGGAGGTAACATTCCTTTCCTTACTGCCTACATCCATTCATCTAGCCTTATAACTAAAAACTAACTAAACATAACCAAGTTTAACTAGAGCAAACACATTTTTATCCTCAATCCAAAGTACCTACAGAGCAAATATCCTTCTGATTTGTCTCCATTTGTGCCCTTCAGTTGCATTCATACCACCTCGATAAATCACTTTGTGTAGTTTAAATGCACCTAAATGGCAGCAATCAACACATTTGCTTTAGAATTTAGGGTTTATGTCCAATTTAGATATTTAGAGGTTGGTTGTTGGTGCCCAACATTTTTGGTAGGACATTGTTATCTAGGCTTGTTTGACAGAGATTTGCTTGTAACATAAGGGTGGTGAAATTTAAGCAGTTTTTGTACATATTTTAAGCTTAGAAGGTAATAAGGAATTGCTGACAGATTGTTTTCAGTCAAATTATGTTTATAAACTGTGAGTGCATGACAATAAGTCCTGCATTGTGAATCAATCTAAATAGTATGGTAGTCTTGTATAGCTTTATAATTAGATTAATTAAACTGCCATAACATCACATCTGAGCTACACTAAAGCAATGTGTGTGTGCAAGAAAGTTTAAAACTCTTAAAAATGTTGTCTATATTGCTGCTTATTTGTTAAAATGTTGAAAATGGGTTATAGGGGCCATGGTCCGTACTGGCCCCCATTTGATGGCACCAAGGTTGAGATGCAAAAGAGAACTTATGCGACCAAGGACTCATGACAGCCAAAAACATATTTCACTCTCACCTTATTTGTAAAGCTTGGAGCCGCAGCCCGCTGTAGTCCACTTCTTTCTGCTCAAACTCTTTCCACTCCTCGTCCTCCTGGGCAGACGGAAACATTAACTCAAAAGAACACTGCAATATATTTACATGATAATCTCATACCAATTTAGGTGGGCAATGCTCTTCTTTGGAAAACATCTGCACTCTGGCCAATTTCTTCTCAAGATATTATTACAGTTTATAACAGGTTGGGTCAATGTTACACACCAGTGTGACAAGCTGTTTAACCTTATGATAGATACAGTAACTTAATTTTGTCACTTATCCATACCTACGTGTGATTTGAAACCTTAAAAGGGTGTTACCCCGGTAAAGAAAAAAAAAATTGTGACAAATGGCGGCTCGGCCTAGCTGGAAAGCCACGATTCAAAATAGGGGTATGACAGCTACCATGCAAACACAAGGCCAGCGTCAGGGTGATAGCTACATTTATGGTCTTAAAATGTGATGTTACGTCATTGACCGACTTTAACAGCTCGCTCACATAAACATAAGGGTGGAAGAAAAGCACAAAAGACGTGCTATGCTGAATTTTGTTACCCGTCAGAAAGTGTGCCAGGGTAAACCATATGCTAGCTAGCAACCGGCGTTGTACCCTCATGTTGAAGCATCTATCCGTAGTTTTCCTTAATTAATTGAGAAATGTTGGCGAGCTGTCAGCAAGAAGGCTAAATGTAAGGACGGGGTAAATTGTGACGGGGATACAAAATTTGATACGACACTGGTGCGTGGAAAAGACGTTGCTGAGGCGAAAAGTTACCGGAGAGTGGCGTTGGTTACCTTCTCAATCTGTGCGTCTTGATTCTCGTTTTTCGCCGATTTTTCCTTCTCCTTCTTGGTCTTTTTCATCACAGCCGACGTGGCGGTGGCGGCGGACTCCTTGCCCTTTCCTTTCTCTTTCTTCTTCTTTTTATCCCGCTTGGCAAAGAAATCGTCCAGGCTCTTCTCCGGTGGTACATCCGCCATTTTCAAAGAGTAATGTTAAGTAGTTAGCTAACCGAGCAATGACAAATGTGAAAATGCACTCTCGCAGGGTGAGGACAGCTGGTCAAACGGGAAGAAGACACGGAGTTACTCCTTATTCTGGCAGTTTAACTTCTTTTTCAGGCTGATAAAAGTGTCCACCCTGGTTCCCTAACCGAATCGTTAGCTATCCTGTCAACCATGCCATGCACGGGCTATTTGACAAATCTGTACCGTTACCCGGAAAGACCTCTACCCTGAACCGGATATAGAATGAGCCTTACACAAAAAATAAAAGTCGCAATATTAGCAGGGTTAAATGAACTTTGTATTTTAATTTAACATCTAAAATTAAATGAAAAACTTAAATTTAACCTTCTGATAACACACCATTTATAAAGGCTAATTTATAAACTGCAATTCATGGTTTTATTAATGGTAAGTAAATAATTTACTTATGCTTTACAGATTGGTAATAAACCATAAATACAAGGCTAGACTACCAACTGGCCAAGGGGCCCCAGAGCCCCAGGTTCTATGGTGCGTCCGCCATCCTCTGTCCTGTGGACCAGGTCTTGAAGAGGGTCTCTGTGTCTAAATCTAGTTTTAAGGCCCACATAGTTCCACTTCATATTGTGCTCATGTGTTTTGAAGTTGTTTTACCAAATGGCCTCCATTTTTTGCATCAAGTAAATAACACACAGAAAATCTAGGGCAAGGTAGTATTATTACCATCATAAGAGAAGTTTAAGTCAGCAATCAGTGATTATTTTTCATTGCCAATACATGTGATAATTATTTTTCTTTGATGATCAGTAATCAGTTGATTGTTATTCACTTGTAGATGTTGAGTTTGCTATATATAAAAAACTGGGAAAAGCAAAAAATACTCAGATTTTAGATGTCGGTACCATTGAATTTTTGGCATTTTGCTGAAAAACTTATTTATAATTTTAATCATTTATCAAAATTGTTCCCAAACACATTCTGTCAATAAACTCATCATTTCAACTGTAGAGTACTGGTTGGTTTCTGAGTGCCTGGAGAAATAGTGAAGCTATAGTGTTGTGGGGGCTCCACAGGGACTGAACAACAAACATTTGCCCCTGGGCCTCCTAGGAGGTTAATCCAGCCATTCATTAGTAATAACAACTTTTGGGTTACCAGGTTGTGGAAAATCCCCTTCCAGCAGGGCACTTTGCTTCCACTTAAAATTATTAACCATCAAGTCTAAAAAAATGTATGACCAGTTGTCGTATGTAAGTTTTGTTTTCTCATTTTTGGTGAGTTGAAATGTCTTGAGCTGTCACATGGATCTCAAAACAAAACTTCCAGGATTTAGTTTTTGAATAGGCCTGTAAGTAAAAGCAATGCTTTGTTTAATTTTAAGGCCAGATTCATGCAATAACATAATAATTTAGTTAGAGAAGAAAAACACCCCTGAGTGGACTGGATACATGTACACAGTCTGTCTAGAAAGGAGGAGGGTAAATCAGGAACTCTAAATCGATAGAGTTTAAAAGACAAACTGAGCTGCTTACACAACTTATTTTGACTGGATATAACCTCCAAAAATGATTTTTAATAGAGGAAACTTTAAACTGCTGTGATTCTAACTCTTTGGAGGCACAAAAAAGACACTGTCAAAACTTGAACTGTCATGTTTTGCGTGATTTCAACTGTAAAAAAAAAAAAAAAACCCCCTCC